GCCGAAGCATAAGGAACTGTCTTCATGTCCTCTATCTCCTTAGTCGTCTTGGGAGATAACTCCTTAGATAAAGGTTCTCCATGTCTGAAAGGTAATGTACACTCTCTTAGAGTTCTGCATACTTAATCTAGCCAAGACAGTATCTATATATGAAGACTGGGATAAGCACATCATTCTCTTCTCACGATCACGAATGATCTTGATACCAAGAATGTGTCCTGCTTCACCCAAGTCCTTCATATCAAACTGCTTAGACAACCACGCCTTTACGTCCGACAACTCCTTCTTGTTGTTGCCAATAAGAAGTATGTCATCCACGTATAGCACAAGAAACACCACCACTTTTCACTAATCTTCTTGTATACACAGTGCTCATCCGGACATTTGGTGAATCCATATGACTGGATTACCTCATCAAACCGAATATTCCAAGACCTTGAGGCTTGCTTCAGTCCATAAATGGACCGATTAAGCTTACAAACTAAGTGCTCATGCCCTTTTGCAATGAATCCTTCTGGTTGCTGCATATAGATGTCTTCCTGAAGGTTCCCATTAAGCAAAGCCGTCTTAACATCCATCTGCCACACTTCATAATTCATATGAGTGGCTACAGCTAAGAGAATCCGAAAGGATTTAAGCATAGCTATTGGCGAAAAGGTTTCATCATAATCGATACCCTCTTTCTGGGTATAACCTTTCGCAACAAGCCTAGCTTTAAAGGTTTCCACCTTTCCATCCGATCCCCTCTTTCTCTTGTAAACCCACTTGCATCCAATGGGACGTATCCCATCTGGTGGTACTACAAGATCCCAGACCTGATTGGTGTCCATAGACCCCAGCTCAGCTTTCATTGCAACCTTCCACGAATTTGCATCTCTATCTTGGAGTGCCTCGTCATATGTTCTTGGGTCCGATTCTAGGTCTCCTGGAACTGAGTCCGATGACTCTCCAAGACCTATCCATCGGTCGGGTTGTGTAGAAACCCTCCCACTAGGCACACTATCAGTGTTACGTGTTGCAGTACTATGTGATGTATCTACTTGCGCAC